CAAAAGATAGATGGAATAACTTAAGGAAAGAAAATCTGGCCAGCTACAAGCCAAGCTAAGGCCAGGCATTCATAGGAAAGAATAAGCCACTGTGTGTACAGGCCTCTTGAAAAGAGTAAAGAGTAATAAAATAACCAACAACAGTTCTCAATGGTTTTTCTCTTAAATACTTGTACAAATGCTACCTTGGGACTTCCCTAGACTGATCACATCACAATTCTCTGCCCATTTCACTTGGACGGCACATACTACCTTTGGTCTCCTTTCCTTCCCTCCCCTACCCCTTGTCTACTCCTTCATTCTGAAGGAATAATTTGTCCTTCAGTATTATCTTGTAAAGAGTCTCTCACCCCTTGTGTCTGCTTTTTCTTCTGAAAGTCCATTAATCCCATCATACTGAGACTAAATTTCTCATCTTTGTAGCTTCTCTCTCCTACTTTTATCCTTTTAAGATTTATTTCTTTTCAAAGCCTTTATTTTATTTTTATTTTACATATTGATCCCAGTTCCCTCTCCCTCCCTCCATTTTTCCCTCTTTCCCACCCTCCCATTCCCCCCCACACCCACTCCACAGGGATGGTGATGTCTTCCAGGAGGGAATCATCAAAATATGTCAAGTCATTTGGAGTAGGCACTAGGCCCTCCCTCCTGCCTCTAGGTTAAGGGAGGGGAATGTGCTCCCAAAGTCCTTTTGTGCACCAGGGATACATCCTGGTTCCACTGTCAGGGGTCCCTTAGACTGCCCAGGCCTTCTAACTGAGACCCATGTTCAGAGGGTCTAAGTCAATACAATGCTGGTTTCCCAGCTATCAGTCTGGGGGCCCATTAGCTCTTCCTTGTCCAGGTCAGTTGTCTTTGTGGGTTTCTGTAGCCTGGTCTTGTCCTCCCTCTCTGCATCTGGATTCCAGTTTGGTTCAGTGTTTAGTTGTAGGTGTCTACTTCTGCTTCCATCAGCCAGTAGATGAGGGCTCCATGATGGTGGATAAGTTAGTCATCAATCTCATTATCAAGGAAGGGCATTTAAGGTAGCCTTTCCACTGTTGCTCAGATTGTTAGTTGGGGTCATCCTTGTAGGTCTCTGGACATTTCTCTAGAGTCAGTTTTCTCTTCAAACCTATAATGGCTCCCTCTTTTATGATCTCTCCCTCCCCCCTCTCAGATTTATTTTTTATTATTTTAAAACATGTGTAGTCAGCCATATGTGTCTGCATGAAGGAATGTACATGTGAGTGCAGGTGCCTGAGGAAGCCAGATCATTATGAGCCACTCTGACAGGTGCTAGGAATAAAAACAGTCCTGTGGAAGAGCATAAATGCTCCTAAGCACTGACCCATCTACCATATCCTTTTTCATCTTTTGATGTTTTCAAATTAATGTCCTCTTCTCCTATAGTTATTATTGTTTTGTGTATGTATATGTATTCATACCCTATTGAGTCTAGTTATTCTTGCCCATGTATACATGGATATGTATTCATACCCTATTGAGTCTAGTTATTCTTGCCCATGTATACATGGGAACAGAACTGGCCAACTGAGTATGGGCAACCTGTTTGGGCACTCATTTCTCATTTCCTCAATGGCTATCGATTGCCTGTCTTAACCCAACCTTGCTGGTATGTTGACTTGTATGGTCTTGTGTGGGTCTTGTACAAGTAATAACAGCTGTTTAGAGTTCATGGAGCAACAACCTCTTCATGTCAAAAAGACACCATTTCCTTTTTTTTCACACACTCTTTCATAATACTCCCTGAGCCTTTGGCATAGGAATTGGTGTCTCACTCAGGGATAGGTCAGGGAGATTTTCTCTTCCTTCTATATCATATTTATTCTAATGATCTTTGTTTAATTTTTTTTTTCAAGACAGGGATTTATTTCTCTGTGAAGATCTGGATGTCCTGGAACTGACTCTCTTTCAGGCTAGCATTGAAATCAGAGGTCTTTAATCCCAAAAAAGCATGCATTATCACCATGTGGCTAGTTTAAATTTTTAAAAGTTGTGGATTACTATGCTTTTTGTACTTGTTTTCTCCTTTCTCTTTGTAGACAACAATCACTATTTTATCCTACTTGCATCTTTCATACACTGCTTGCTCTGTTCTCTAACTTTTATGTAGGAATTTTTGTTCATTCATGTATGGCTATCTAAATGTTCCATGCATGATCTGATAGCATTGAGTTTCACTGTAGAAAGTTTGGAACAGAAAGTAATCCTTAATGGGGGATGTCCTTCTGTATGCTGTGAAAAGATGTTTCTCTTATTGGTTGATGAATAAAGCTGTTTGGCAGGATGTAGCCAAGCAGGAAAGGTAGGTGAGGCTACTGACTACAAAGCTGGGAAGAGGAAGAGATGGGGGTGGGGTAGCTGTTGAGGAAGAGACCAGAGCATCAGAAGTAAGCTAAGACCATATGAAGATGGATTAATAATTAAGAGAGATCTAGTCATTAAGAAGCCTGAGCCATTGGCCAAACAATTTATTAATTTATTAATATAAGACTTTGTGTGTTTATTTGGGACTAAATGGCTGCAGGACCAGGCAGGACAGAAACTTCTGTCTACAAATCCTCTTGCTGAGCTTCAAATATAGCTATTTTTCCTGATAACTCTAAAATTACTATAGCTAAACTTTACTCCTGAATCACAGACTTTAAACACACTTTTTAAAGAAGTTTAGAAGATACACCAAACAAAATATCTAGCATTCTTGGTCCCCCATTTATTACCCTCCAAATCTGATTCTGTATAGTTTTCTACTGTACTTTTATCATCTAGGCAGATAAAACATAGGAGTCACTGTTCTTTTATCTTTCCTGTCCACGTTCTTTTATCTTTCCTGCATACCAATTCAATCTATCACTAACTCTGGCTCTAATGCCAAACTATATTCAATATTCAACAACTTCTTACCAAGTCCACTGTACTGACTCTAGCCTAAACTACTGAAATTCAGATCTCTTACTTAAATGATTCCTCTGTGGTTCTATTTTTATGATGTGAAAAATTTAACCATGTCTAGCAGACTTCTGGAGAGAATTTAATTTGGAACCTACAAAGCTCTTTACAATTTATCTCTGGACTCCTTCTTAGCCAAAATTATCAAATGTCTCACATATCCCAGAATTGCCATTTCCTTCTGCTGTGTGTCATTCTGGAAGTTCTTTCCTTAATTTTTCTGGTCTCAGAACACCAATCATTGATTCTAATAATATTAGCATACATCTTATTTATGCTGTGCAGCATGTGCAATGGTAATTGTGATCTATACATGAAGAGCTTCTAACATAGGTTCATAATCACACCAATAAGTATGATGTTCAATAAAAGCATCTATTTTTCTTAAGTCTCTAAACTTGTAGTTTTCATCATATATTCTGAATCACTATAAACTCTTAAAAGTGAAGTCCTTTAGTCTGAACTTCTCACCTTAACTTTCTACTGTACTTTACATCATGATGTTGTGGGGGTTTTTTTATGATATTTTTTATTTAAATTTGAAACAAGCTTGTTTTACATGTCAATCCCAGTTTCCTCACCCTCCCCTCTTCCCCTGTCCCCCTCCCAACCCCCATCTATCCCCTTTCTGCACCTCAGGGAGGAAGAGGCCTTCCATGGGGGATCTTCAAAGTCTGTCATATCATTTGGAACAGGGTCTAGGCCCTCCCCCATGTGTCTAGGCTGAGAGAATATCCCTCTATGTGGAATGAGCTCCCAAAGTCCATTCATATCCTAGGGATAAATGCTGATCCACTACCAGAGGCCCCATAGACTACCCAGTCCTAACTAACACATTGTGGGTATTTTTTTTGAACTTATTATCCAGCATGTAAATATAATTGACCCTAAAATTTTTTTCATTAAAATGGTTACTTAGATCTATTGATCTTTTACTTTATTCCCAAAATGTTATACATTGTTATATAAATGTTATAGTCCTATACTTATTATATGATTTAAGTATTATACAGCATTACATGGTCTATTGCTAGAAGTGGTTAAATAACTGTGTTACACAACTACTAAAATATGACTGGGGCTTAAGGCTCATCATTTTTATTGAGTATTCTTACTTTAGTCTGAGTTTATAATTCAATGTCATAACTAGAAAAATGACATTAATTGGAGGTCAGTTTTATTTATTCAGCATATTTTTATAATAACCAACATACATCTAAGGTTCTATCAGATGTTTATAGGCTTTGTCATCAACAATGTTCATCCCAAGAGTGGAAACCTCTGTATGTTAAGAGAACTTGAGTTCCCTCCATTTTCCAATGGCTTATAGACCATGTATACATACTATAAGGATGATGATTGACAGCAGGACCCTGAATATGCTTCTTAATAACATCATGTCTCAGGAAAGATTAATATATTGTTTCCAGGTTCAATCGCCTTTTTTTTTTTTCAATCATTGTTTTAACTAACAACTGGTTTTTTGCAACTTTAATCATCTTTTCACTATAAGAGGCAAGATAATGTTATTAACTACCACAGTGGTAGAAAAACCAGCAGGGCAGAATTAACAGGGAAGTGACCCCTAGGAAATATAGTGAGCTAAACATCTTTGCTTTGTATTTCCACTTGGAAAGTGTGACGCCTGAGTAAAACCAGTTGTTTCTTAAATATGGAGACAGAAGCAAAATGACAGTTTTTAAAATGTTGCTTTAGCCTAGATACACAGGGGAGGGCCTAGGTCCTACTCTAAATGACTTGACAGGTTTTGATGATACCTCATGGAAGGCCTCAACTCTCCCTGGGGAGTTGGGTGGGGGATGGCATAGTGGAGTCGGGGAAGCATGGAAGGATGGGAGGGAGAGATATATATTGGATATATAAAATAAGATTGTTTCTAATTTAAATAAAATTTATAAAATTAACAAACAAAACAAAAATATGCTGAAATACATGAAAAGAATATGCAATATACAACATTACCAGGGAAAACAAAGGAGAAAAATGAGCTATGAAGGAACAATCCATCCCTTGTTAAGATTTCTTACCATTTTATATAGATCGGAGACACTAATCTGGTCTGAATCCACCACTTCAAAGTCCTTCCGAGGCACCAAATCAAGGCCCAAATGCCTAATAAAGAGAAACACCATATTTAGTTGCAAGTGTTCCAATTACTCATCTCTCTGTATAGAACTGGAAACCTATACCTGCCATGGTTTTATAGACAGAGCTTCAAGCACTATCCGAGAAGGGAAATGCCTTTATCTATTAACATCTAATTGTGTTCACTTTGGGAAAAATAAATGAAGATAAGGATTTTAAAATACGATTACAGTTACTAAACAGTTCCATGGGTAATTACAAAAAGTTTTCATCAGTATGTTTAAAACAGTACTTTAATTCATTAAGAATACTTTTTATTAGACAAATAATAAGCCATTTTTTATTTCTCCCACCATACTATTATGTTCAAGGTTCAATTATGCATTATTTTCATTACAGAGAAAAAATCATGTCCTAGCACTTAGCATGGTGGTGCACACCTTTAATCCCAGCACACAAAGGCAGAAGCAGGAAGACTTCTGTGAGTTCAAAGCCAATCTGGGCTACAAAGCAAGTTCTAGGCCAGCTAGAACTATACAGTGAGACTATCACAACAAAACAAAACTGGGGCTTGTCCACTCAGCCACACAACGATACACCATCCCACCCAAACTACACACAAAACTTCTGAAATTCTTTTTTTATCACATCATGCTAACAGTATTAGATACAAGGAATAACCAGTTTTGAGTCAAGAAAATGTCATTTATCAAACTTTCTCCTCTGAGAACAGTGCTTTCTGTACCTAGAAGTAGCCACAATGAAGTGCCCTTTCAGTGTCTTCATTATCTTGGGAAATAAGAGAATAATTAAGGGGTGATTTCGTAAAAACGGAAAACTGAATAATATGTACTATGATCGGTTTTTAAAATAAAAGATTTATTTCATTTTTAATTATGTGTATGCATGTGTTGTCTGTGTGGGAGATATGTGTATGTTAGGGGAGTTTCCTAAAGAGAAAGCACCCTGGAGCTGGAGTTACAGGTAGTTGTGAGCTACTTGACATGGGTGCTGCAAAATCAAAATGTACTCTTAACTGTTGATCCATCTCTCAGCCTTACTATGATCATTTTCAATTCAGGAAGAAAAGTTTGCAAAAGTTAAACTAATACTAGTTTCATTTGAAGAAAGCAGAGCAACTGCATAAGGAGATGTACACATGTTCTCTACAAATTTAACTCTGACAAAGAAGTTCCAATTTTTCCACCAATCCACACTGACTGATACATCCTCATTGGCTGTTTTGAGGATTGATGCATGTAAACACTCACCACTGTCTGGTGTTGTGGAGAGCTATCATTAACCCCTTCCAGCCCTCCCCATTGCTTTCTACTAATTGAACTAAGGGTTTTTGCATATGCTAGGTAAGTGTTCCTCCACCTGAGTCCCTTCATATTTTTTGAGCCAACCTTGACCTCTCCCTATAGTGTAGGTAGCCTTAACCTTGGATCCTCCTGCTTCAACCTCTCTAGTAGTTAAAGTTAGACAGGCCTAGACCATGACATCCAGCTAGATACATTTTTATTAGTAAAGAAAATGAAGGTTTAGAGAGATTAAAAGTGGCCTCTTGAGGGGAGCTGAGTTTTTCTCATTTGGTCTATCTTGCTCTGAACTGATAGCATTTCATTTTTCAATTATATCCACTATCTTTCTAGAAATGACTATCTAAATACTAATGGCTACAACTGACTATAATAGTTTGAGGGGTAATTATAAATACTTCAATCTAGAAAGAAATACCAATTCATTAATGAGTAACCACTAGGTATGGTAAACGTTTATTTTAATACAAAAATACATTATGTACTAACTACCAAAGGTAGGCATTGTACTTATTACAAAATATAAGGATAGGGGGAGAGGAAAGAGTAGGAGCGGGGAGAGGACCTGGAAGAAGATGAAAGAAAGGTGTAGAGGAAAAGGGAGAGAGGGAGAAAGAGAGAGACTGGTCTGAAAGTAAAACTTCAAGGTTTTGTTTTGTTTTTGACCACACATAGTCAAAATTCTTAAACAGAACAAGAACTGCTCCTGAGGGTGCTACCCTTAACACTAGAAGAACTTGAGCAGTCACTGATATTCCTGCTGGTTTCATGTCCTAAATGGGGGAGGGGGGAGGAAATCACCATATCTTTAATAAGGAATCCTAGTTTAAAATCTACTGAGGGGAAGTTCATTGAGTGTATACTGTATACAGTTTGTATATTACAAACCAACCTACTGATTGTGTTGCTTTCTTTAACCACAATTATCTAGACAAAGGACATAAACTAAATTGGGGAGAAAAATATGAAGGAGTTGTTATAGGTAAAAATCGGATAGTGGAGATAAAAAGGGGAGGAGAAAAAATGATAAAGACAAAGTAAAATTAAGAAAAAACAAAAGGCTGAGCAAAAATTAGACATAACCCTAAAACTCAGGATACTGAAGTAGAATAATTATAAATTCAAATCCAGGCTATAGTGAGGCTCAATCTGAAACAAAGCAATAACAAAATAACTAGAATTATAAATTTATAAACGATTCATTTAAATTTTTTTGAACTTGGCAAAACACTTCATTTTTTTATTTAAATTAAAAATCTTATTTTACATTCTAATCCCAGCTGCCTCTCCTTCCCTTTGTCCCATTGCCCCCACCATCTCGACATCCCACCGCCCATCCCACTTCTCAGAGAGGTTGAGACCTCCCATGGCGGATCATCAAAGTCTGTCACATCATTTCGGGCAGGACCGAGGCCCTCCCCCTCTATCTAAGCTGGACACCCCCTCCAGAAGGGGAAAGGGACAAGATTTCCTAAGTAAATTGGGAACATGGGGAGAGTGGAAGGGAGGTAGAAGAAAGAAGAGGGGACAAGAGGAGGGGGGAGGAGAAGAACATGAGATATCAGGACAGAGAAGGGGAGTAAGGAGAGAGATACCTGGATAGAGGGAGCCTTTATGGGCTTAACAAGAAACCTGGCATTAGGGGGAAATTCCCAGGAATCCACAAGGATGACCCCAACCAAGATTCTAAGCAATAGTGGAGAGGCTACCTTAAATGTCCTTCCCCAACTAACAATCTAAGCAATAGTGGAGACACCACCATGACTACCTTAAATACCACCATGGAGCCTTCACCCAGTAGCTGATGGAAGCAGAAGCAGAGATTCACAGCTAATTGAACTCCTGGAATCCAGTTGTAGACAGGGAAGAGTGATGAACAAAGGGGTTAAAGACCCACAGAAACAGCTGACCTGAGCAAGTAGGAGCTCACAGACTCTAGACTGACAGCTAGGGAACCTGCAGAAGACTGAACCAGGCCCCCTGAACGTGGGTATCAATTGGGAGGTTTGGGCAGTGGAACCAGTATTTATCCCTAGTGAGTTAATGAGATTTTGGAGCCCATTCCCTATGGAGGGATACTCATTTAATTTTTTTTTTTTTTTAGTTTGCAATAAAAATACCAATTTCATTTTATAATGATACGCAGATTTATTTATTTATTTATTTATTTTTTGAGATAGGGTGTCAGCAGCTAAGGCTGCTGAAAGGAGTGCAAATTTATACAGCCACTTTGGAAATCAATAAGGAAGTTTCTCAGAAATTGGGACTCAGTCTACCTCAAGACCCAGCAATGTCACTCTTGGGCATATATCCAAAGGATACTCAATCATACCACAAGGACACTTGATCAACTATGTTCATAGCAGCATTATCCATAATACCCAGAACCTGGAAACAACATAGATGCCCCTCAACCAAAGAATGGATAAAGAAAATGTGGTACATTTACACAATGGAGTACCACTCAGCAGGAAAAAAAATGACATCATGAAATTTGCAGGCAAATGAATAGAAGTAGGAAAAAAAAAACCCGAAAAACAAAAAACAAAAAAAAAAAAACAAAACAAAACAAAAAACAAACAAAAAAACAACCTGAGGGAGCTAACTCAGACCCTGAAAGACAATGTACTCACTCATAAGTGGATACTAGATGGAAAGCAAAGGATAACTGGACCACAATCCACAGCTCCAGGAAAGCTAGGTAACAAGGCAGACCCTAAGAAGGACACATGGATTGCCCTGGGAAGGGGAAATAGATGACATCTTCCGGATAAACTGGAGGCTTGAGGGGAAGGGCGGTAAAGGGAAAGGGATGGGGATGAGAATATGAGGAAATAGGATGGTGGAGTTGGGGGGCGGGTGGAGTAGAAGAGCAATGAAAAAGATATAGAGAGAGCCATTATGGGGTTAGGGAGAGACCTGATGCTAGGGAAATTCCCAGGAATCCACAAGAATGACTCCAGTTAAGATCCCTAGCAATAGTAGAGAGGGTGCCTGAACTGGCCTTCTCCTGTAATCAAATTGGTGACTACCCTGCCACCATAGAGCTGTCATCCAGTAACTGATGGAAGCAGATGCAGAGACTCAAATCCAAGCACCAGGCCAAGTTCTGGGAGTCCAGCTGAAGAAAGGGAGGAGGGATTATATAAGCCCGGGTGGGGTGGGGGTGGGTAAGATCATGACAAGGAAACTCACAAAGACAGTTGACCTGAACTTGTGGGAGCTCATGGACTCTAGACCTACAGCTGGGGGCCCTGCAGTTTTGTAGCCTGATCTGTTTGTGGGGTCCCTGGCAGTGAGACCAGGATTTATCCCTGGTGCATGATCTGGCTTTTTGAAGTTTATTCTGTATGGTGGGATACCTTGCTCAACCCTAATTCAGGGGGTGGAGGTGCAGGGAGGTTGGTACTGCCTCAATTAAATATGCCAGGGCTCGTTGACTCCCCATGGGAGGTCTTATCTTTTCTGAGGAGTGGACAGAATAAGTTCAGGGGAGGAGGGGATGGAGGGAATTGTGGTTGGTATGTAAAATGAATTTAAAAAATAACTATTGACTTTGTTCTTTTTCTGGGAATTATATCTGATCTTGAACCTTCCCAGTAATTACTCTCTAATAGTAAATGCATTCACTGAATTATTTTCCATCTTTTTTATTTTCAAGGAGATTATACACAATTTATCTGAGTGTCTTATTTTAGAAATCATATTCTTCATTCTTTTTTCATTGACTCTAGTTCTACATAATGAGCCTTCTTGATTCTCTTTGTAGATACAAGGGGAATTTGTTTTGGTCTTAAAGTTTATAAATGAACTTCTATTTCTCTCAAAGGAGAAATCATTTCCCCTGGGCACAGGGGTTTTTTTTTTTTTTTCAAATCCTGATGTGTATGTATGTTTTGCCTCCATGTATGTCTGTGTATACACTATGCGCATGTATGGTGCCAAAGAAGCCATAAGTGAGCAGCAGAGCTGGAGTTGCAGACAGTTGTGAGTCACCATGTTAGTGCTGGCAATAGAATCTGGGTCCTCTGAAAGAGCAGCCTGTGCTCTTAACCATAGAGCCATCTCTCCAAACTTTATTTTAAGGGCACAGAAAATCATCACATCCACTGCACAAATGTAGGAAATCTTTCTGAATGACAAATGAATTAAGAATATCTGAAGTATAAATCCTCATTTGTAGGTTATGCTTACTCAGAAAATGTATAAAGAACACTAATTCTCTCTCTCTCTCTCTCTCTCACACACACACACACACACACACACACACACACACACACACACACAGAGTATACATTTATTTGTGGTGTGTGTGCATGGAGATACCCATGCAGAAGTCAGAGCACCTGTAGGAGTCAGTTTCTCTTGTGGAATTCCACTGTGTGAGATATGGGAATCAAAAAAAAAAAAAAAAGAAAAGAAAAAAAGAAAAAGGAAGAAAGAAGAAAGAAGAAAGAAAGAAAGAAAGAAAGAAAGAAAGAAAAAAGAAAAAGGTAGAGAGGGCAAGTGGCAAGTACCTTTATCTGCTGAGCCATCTTTTCTGACTCACCCCTCCTTTTTCCCCTCAAGTACCACAATTTATTTTTTAAGTATGCTGTGAGTTATGAGGTTTAAAATAAGGGAATTTGGTCTCCTGGAAGACAGCTCAAAGGATAACCCAATTCTTTAATTCTTTCCAAATAAAACACAGGCTAAGAAAACTTCAGGTTGGAACTAGTGAATGCCCTTTGATAACTAGAAGAAACAACAATACCTAGCAAAACTGTACAGAAGATATATGATCTTTTAATCATCAAAGAGAAGCTTAGATCAAGTTTAAATTCTATGAAGACTGAGTTACAATGAAACTAGAAGATGCCCAAGTAATGGTCATACTTACTCATTACCCCAGTCCAGGCGCACGGTGATGTGCCGTTTAACCTCCCGTGCCTGATCCTGCGTCAGGTGACCAGACAGTAGTTGCCTTCGCAGGTCAATAAGTTCATTCATCACATGGCGTAGTTTGTAGAAAAGATCTACTTTGTGTTTCTGAAAGGTATTTTGGTGTGGGTGAAGTATATAAGGGATATGGAAAGGGAATGAAAAGAGAAAGAAAAATAGTTAAACTATGAGAAGTGCTCATTTCCCTGAACTACATAGGCAATGTAAGGAGGAACATACTTAGAAACAAAGTTTTGACTTCCTACTTTCTAAAACTTTGCGCACAGTGCTATCTAACAAAGCATCATAACTAATTTGGATTAGGAAAAGCACAACCTCTATCCTATTCTGAACTACTCATCTCAAGTAAATCAGTTATTAAGCTTAATCAGAAAAGTAACTTACACAGGAGCCCAAAGTGATTTCACAACGGAAGTAATAAAGCACTTAACAGCAAAGACTTCAACCATCTGGCAACACCTCTACTTTCATCAGGAGGGACAGTCAAGTTGAAAGAAGGAGGGAGAGAATTAATTGCCCTATTTTGAAGCCACTAAAGTTCATATAAAGCCAGTCTCAGGAGTGAGATTCCTTTCTTGGTTTCTAGACCTCATCTGGCTTTCTAATTAGTTTCTTTTAAACAGTGTGGGTCCCTAGAGCAATAGACTTCTACTCCTTTCAGCTTAATAAAGATCCTTACGTTTACAAAAGTTAAGTAGAAACAACATAATGAACTTAATTAAGGCCATTATAGTGTTTATTATCTTGCAAGAAAAAAAAAAAACCCACAAAACTAAGCACCTAGAGTTGATACCTCCAAAAAAAAAAGTTCTTAATAAAAATTTAAGAACTGAAGTCTTATTTCATAGAAGCAAAATCTTGACTTTTGAATACTTAGAACTCTGTTTCTTTCGGGGAGAAAGGTGATTTTATATGATTACTTTACAACTTGGAATAAAACTAATCTATAAAGAATGCTTTCAATGATCAATTAACAATGCCCAGATGCAATTCTTTTCCAAGTATTTCTGTTCCAAATTCACTTGGGTAGAAAGGGGTAACTATATTATCCCAGAAAAGAAAAGCCCCTAATATGGGTAATGACACAGAGAGTTGGAAAGGTAATGAAGTGACTAAGGCTTTTTCCTTCGATTGCTTCGTTCTCAGAGAAATAAAAGGCAAGATCATCCATGAGAGTGATACAAAAGGGTGCTTGCTGAGGCTCTAGAAGACACAAAACAGTTTCTCAGGGAATGATACCTTAAATTAGAGGAGGAAAGGTAGCTTCAGTTGCTAGGTAGCTCTGGAATTTATGTACATCATTTAAAAGTGTTTTGTTTTGTTTTGTTTTTAAGGCCAACTATAAGCTAGTGTACTGACATCACTGCATCACATGTGTGCTTATGCCTTATGATTATTTTAATTTTTTTTAGTTTTAAGTGTATCAGCTTTCTGCCTAAATGTATGTTGTGTATCACATACAAGCCCAATGCTCACAGAGGAATGAACAGGGCAGTGGATACTCCTGGAACTGGAGTTACAAACAGTTATAATCTGCCATGTTGATACTGTGAATCAAACCTAGGTCTTGTGAAGAAGCAGCCATACTCTTAATTGCTAAGGCACAGGTGCTACAATTTAAATTCTTGTGTCACACCAAAATTCACACATCAAAACCCCTAAGACAACTATATTGGAAGGCAAGACCTTTGGGGAGACAATTAAAAGTCATGAGGGCAGAGCCCAAATAGCATTAGTGCCTGTATAAAATTGCTCAACAGAGTGTGTTCATTTCTTACACAATGTAAGGATGTAGTGATAAGGTGCCAGCTATATGGAAATGGGCTCTCCCATGAGAGTAACTCTGTGAGTATCTTTATCTTAGGCTTCCCAGACTCCAGAACTGTGAGGAATAAATTTCTATTCTTTACAGTTTATAGAATTTTGATATAATAGCTTTAATAAACTAAGTGCATGTGTAGCATATATGTATAAAATTATGTATATGGGTATATGCACATATAAGTATATAAGCATATACACATGTAATATATACACACATGAACATACATACATAATATCTATGCAAGAATACATTGTAATTAAGGAATTACAAACATTTATTTTTTAATAATGAGTTTTCATATTAAAATATCCAGAGAAGACAATATCTACCATGCCCTGTTCTTCAGTAACAATGTGAAATTGACAGTCCTTCAGTGAAAGACAGAGTGTGTCTCCATGGATCTTGGCAGGTCCTGAGACTGCTCTGTGACAGCAGTGAACTAAGTCAGTTGTTAGCCCTTAATTAGTTCAGTTCTTGCTACCTCTTAGCATGCATGAATCAAGGAATGCATAAAGGAGACATCCTTTTAAAAGCACAAGCTGCATGCTAAAGTCACAAGTAGGTATCCTAATAAACTAGTTCTGAATATGTGAGCCATGTTGTATATACAGCCTTATCAAATGTTCAGAGGCCTACTGCCCACCCTGCAACTGTCTGAGTGAAACAGAATGAGAAACTCTAAGAAAAAACTGCCCATCTGAGCTTCTGAAACATTTAGCAGTTGACTGAAGCTACTAAGCTGTTGGTGTTTCATTATGGAGGTAACTGGAATATAGCCAGTTTACTTTTTATCTAGAAGAAAATCCATTCTCATTTAACTATGCATATGTGGAAAAACCTGTGCTAGCCTTTTATACAGAGGTAAAGTAAGAATGACATGGATCATATAATTAGAAAGCAGCATTATTATTACAATCAACATGGTGTCATTGTACTTTTCAATCCACTACTCTCAACTCAGTGGTTTCCTCTCTCTAGGACTTTCTCCTGCTACACAGGTGCTCTGATAGTTTACTTTCCCTTAAGCTTTCACCTATAATAATGTCCTTCCTAAAATCTTACCCTACCTGTTGTCAGTAAAATTCATTCTTTGAATTCTCAAGATAAGAACCTAAAGCCACTAACTCAGCAGAAGTTCTGTGTAACCAGCTCTTCCAGCACTCTCACTTCCAAATTAAGCTACCCTACAACTACATGTGCCAGAAGTAAAGAAAATGAGCTCCCATGTTGGAATAACCAGATGTGTAGCCTGCATAATAAGTCTACAATAAAACAAAACAAAAGACAAAAATAAAAAATGGATGCAATGATAGACATTGTCATAAAACTTCACAATATTGAGGATCCATAAACGTACAGGGAGACAAATTGTAAGTAAGAACACTGTCATGGCATGACAGAAACAACAGCACTGGAAGACGGAGAATGATGAAGACATGCTTTCAGTGTGCTGCAGGGCCTGCTTCTGTTGTTTTGTCTGTCTGAAACAGTCTCACTGGGTGTTTGAGCCTGAATGAACTCAAACTCTTGATCCTCCTGCCTCAACCTTCTGAGTGCTGGCTAGGATACATATGTATATCCACACTAAGCTAAAATTCCGTATCTTCTTTATAATAATTTTATACTCATCATAACTACCAAATGCAAAATGTTAATTTTTATTTTACATGTTTTTTCCCAGAAAGCTATTGGTAAAGTGTTTTCCCAAATAAACCAAAATTAATGCAAAATGGTTTAGCCTCAGAGACAAAGACATTCTTCGGGACATACTAATGTAGAAGGTGGCAGAGTTCCACACAGGATGTAACTGAGAAAAAATTATGTTGGCTAAATACTGATGTATTTGAACATACTCAATATAGATTTTTATTTCTGCAAAGATGTTAGATTTTAGAAAGCAGGGTAAATAAGACCAAGCAGTTATTAACAACGAAAACAAGTTATATAAGAAAGGAAGCACAACCTGAATTCTTTATTTATGAAAGTAATTACACAGACATCACAACAACTTAATATTGACTCAAAATAGGTCACATGTAATTTATGAAAATAGTTACAGAAACATCGTAACTACTGAATGCTGACTCAAAAGATGGTGCTATAGGATTCTGGACACAAGGCAGGAGGGAGTAGCACGTACATAGGTGCATGTGCATTCAGTTTAATCGCTGTCTTTTACAATAAGAAAACCATTAAGTAACACCTAAAGTTTAGAAAAGACATCCATTAAGGAAATGTTTCTAGAAATATAAAACATTAAAGAAATAGCTAAAGAGGTAGAAAAAATAAAGACTAGGAGGGAAGGGATGGCACTAGAGCCCAAATTTAATTAAATGACTAGCAGTCCTTGATGTATAAAGTTTTATTTAAAACCCAGATTTACAAACATCTTAACTGTTTTTAAAAGATAAAACTGAATAACCCCAACTATATAAAAGGCCTTTCTCCATCTCCCATCCCAAGGGAGTTATCAGAGGACACAAAGTTAAGTAGAGTCTGAATACAGATTTCATTGCTTTTTACCAACTTAAATATTGATAAATGGAACTAGCAAATCTAAGTACAATAACTCCCTGTCAGAATCAACACAAAAGCTAGACTACTTATATGTCTCATTCCTGCAACCCATGAGAAATGAAATGCATTCCACAGCAGAAGGTGGCCCTGGAGAAAGCTTTGTGTCTTAACTACTGCATGTCATTTGTCCACTGATAGCTTTCACACACTGGTGACATTACACAGACAGCAGCAGTGATTGCAGCTACCCTGCCAACCAACCCCCTTTAGGAGCTCAGTCATCCAGCAGTAGTTAAAAAAAAAAAGGCAGAAGATACATATTTACATCTAGTCTAGAAATACAGCAACAGTCATTTCATACCAGGATCTAATACCAAGGAAACCCTATGAAAGCTCAGTGTTATGTTAAATCCTACATTTGGTTTGTTTTCTCTTAAAGGTCTGTCTTTTCTACTGGGGGGGGGGGGAACCTCAATAGTTTTAATTAAATGTTAAACAATTCATCCCTGCTCTTCCAAAAGGAATCCTCAAGTTCATCATTAGCAGTAACAGGAGACCATCCCCTGCTTTCCTACTACTGAACATCATTCTAGACTTTAATAATTCTTTAACAATATAACACAGTGGGCATTATTACAGTGGTATTATAGGAATATTAATATAGTATCATGAATGTGTGGTGCTCTATCTTAACTGCCAATCACAATCATCTAGGTGAAATTTACTAACACCTGTGGTATGTCTT